CCCAAGGACGAACCCTATTGAAATTGGAGATAATCGGTCAAAAATTAGATATAGCTCCCATATATATCTTCGTTCGATTTGCCTTTTATTGTGCACCAAACGTGTAATATCAGCCCCAAAAGCATGGAATTTGGCACATACAACCAAATAAGGCCTGAAAATAAGTATGCCAAATTTGATCGATATCGGTTCAGATATAGCTATAGCTCCCATATATATTCTTCATCCGATTTGTTATTTTTGTCCTCCGCAGCCGCAATATGCACTCTGTAACAACAATATTTGGGGAAACATATCAAATACAGCGCAGAAATACATTTGCTAAATTTTATCGAGATCGATTCAAATTTGGATATAGCTCTCATATATAACTTCGTCCGATTTACCTTTTATTGTGCACCAAACGTCTAATATTTGCCCAAATGGGATGGAATTCTGAGTCTAGAAGCTAGTATCCCAAATTTGGTGAAGATCGGTTCAGTTATAACTATAGCTCCCATATATACTGTTCATCCGATTTGTTATATTTGTTACCCACAGCCGTAATATGCACTCCGTAACAACGATATTCAGGGAAATATATCAAATACAGCTCAGAAATATCTTTGCCAAATTTTATCAAGATCGGTTCCGATTTGGATATAGCTCCCATATATATCTTTATCCGATTTCATATTAATTGTGCACCAAATGGGCAATACAAGTCCGAATTTAAAAGATACAAATGCTTCGGCATATTTAGTCCTTTGAACTTTAAATTATAATTATAATCATAGCGTGTATTATTGAATTCTCCCATAAAAACTTTTAATTGTTATGCGGAGCTCTACTAAATTAGCAAGTGGTGTAGGTATCATAAAGTCGGCCCGCCCGACTTTAAGACTTTCTTTTTTGGTTTTTATATGGAAAATTTTGAAAATTGTATTTATTTATGTATGTGTATGCTGAGGATTTTTTTCTATTCAAGAAATGCATCCTCGGTGGGTAAAGGAAATGTATAAGGTACTGAAAAATATGACTGAGAGTTTTCTTCTTCGAAAGTATGTGTCTAGGGAAATTTGACGTTTAAAACATGAGCACATTTTTTCTGTGCAAATATATGTCTTTAGTCACTGGAAAAATTTGGCTAAAGAATAAATGTAGACACAATAGCTAAAGAATTCTTTGCTATTTTGTTGTTGCAAAATGGTCATGCTTAATCCTTTCATTGTTGTTTTTATAAAAACAATGTTTGTTTGTTAGTGGAGAACGATGAAAAACGTATCCTCTGCGGTTAAAATTTGTTGGTATAAAAAATGATGTCCTTAATGTGATATAAAAAAAATCATTTTCAGGATCTGAGGAAACTTTGTCGATAAAAAAAGTGTATTTATCGCTGAAGAATTATTCCTCGTAGAAAAATTTTTCTTCGGAGCTTGATGAATCTCCTATATAAAAATACCTTCTAAAATGTCAATAATGAAAAAATAGGGTATTATTTGGATAGACAATCTTTTAAATGAGCCTCTATAGAAAAAAGTAATCTGAAAATAATTTTATATTACACACATATCTTCAGACATAGTCAGTCACATATCGCCAAGAGGATTTTATCATCAATAACAAAGTAGTTGGGACAAACGACGATTTTTTAAAGTCGTGCCAGAGAGACTTTTTAAATGTTTAAGAACGATCGTGGACTTTTTAAATAATATTTATAATAGCAATGTCATACAAATTATCGATTTAAATATTTTTGGGGAATATTAGAGCTAATATCGTATTTTTTAAAAAGATCTCTGAGATATAATGAATCCAAAATGTTTTTAAATAGACAGTAGAAGCCTTAATGTGTTCTTAAGAGGTCTTCCAACTTCTTCTATAGAAGGACACTATTTAAGCAGTCATCAATTGAAGGAAATTCTCTTTAGAAACTTATTAGCGAGAAGACCTCTCAAAAGACCCTCTATGGAAAGAAGATATGTGAAGAGGATTTCTAAAACAAAGGCTTCTCAAGAGGCCTTCTATAGAGATAAGGCTAGTTTATTATTTTACTGAGCTTTATTTTTTAATCGTGGAATTGTAAAAAATATTTTTAAGATCTATCTGACCAATATTAAATATCATTCTTAAGGTGTGTCGGACAAGTAATCGTGCATTTTTATAGAAAATTTTTCCAAGGTCTTTTAAAAAAGAATAGCTTTCAGGTGGTCTTTTATAGCAGATTACCATTCAAAACGTCTTATATGAGAAAAAGAAATCTCAAGATGTCGTGGACCTCTACAGCCAATTGGCTACCAAAGAATGTGGTACCTAATACGAAATCCGAACATCAAGATAATTCGGTTGAATCTTCCGTAGGTACTGTTATATAGGAACTATTCGAAAACTTTGACCTTTGCCATATAGAGATAATTTTGTTGAAAAATATAACTAAAATTCCTGATACAGAATTTTGAATGGTACCCTTATACATATGGGGAGGGCTATATAAAGGCGTGGATTTGTGCAGGCCACTTTCTGTCATAGGTGGAACTCCAAATACCGAATTTGAAACATATCCGGTGAAAAATGTGAACTGTTCATTTACAGAAAATTCGGTTTAAAATGTTGACTTAAACATACAAAACACATTTAATTTGCCTACACAGATAGTTGGGGGCTATACCAAAACCTAGACCTATATAGGCCATTTTCAATACCAAAAGTCCTGCAGACCTAAAACACATCTGAGTAAAATGTTGTTAACCTACTTCATTTATTTCGGTAGCTAGAGTGATTTTCAGACGGACAGACGGACGAACATCGTTAAATCGACATAGAATCTTATGCCGAACAAGAATAAATATACTATATGTGGTCTGAAATGTATATGTCGAGGTCTTACAAATGGAATGCCAAACTTAATAGCCTCCATACTCTGGAGGAGGGTATAAAAGAAAATACTTTTCTAAAAAATTCTCTAATTAGTTTTCTGAAAAAAAAATAAGACTTCTCAAGACTTCTCTTATAAATAAAAAACCTCAAAAGAGGCCAACTATAGGCAGAGGACCTGCAATCACAGGTTTTCTCGTACGAGACCTTCTATCATGATTTCGTCTCTGACAGTGCTTGCAAAGTTAGCATTGTAAAATCCACAATTATGTCTATTTTAAAACCCCGCATCCAAAGCTCTGAAGATCCTTGGGGTTTTTTAATACCAAATTATACCTATTTCTGAAATTTCCTAAAAACATAGTTCTAAAAATCCACGCCTATGGCTCTGAAAGTTCCTTATCAAAATTTAATTAAAACATTCACAACTGTAGTTTCAAAAGTGTTGTAAATTTTTACTTTAAAAATCCACGAATGTGACTCTGAAAGTCCCTGAATAGGTTACTAAAACAATCCACTATTTTTTCTCATAAGTCCTTAGAAAAATGGCTCTGGAAGTCCCTCAACAAATTTTTATTTTTTATAGTTCTGAAAGCTCTTAAATATTTTACTTGGAAATTCTGGGACTATGGCTCTAAAAGTCCTTGAAAAAATCCATGATTATGTAAAAATCCTTGCAGAATTACTTAGAATAAATTACGATTTTAAAACTAAAGTTTAGCTAAAAAAACCACGCTTATAGCTCTGAAAATCCTTAAAAAATAATTTAAAATATCCACGATTATGGCCCTTTACTTTAAAAAGAAGACTAAGCATTTAAAAAGGAAGGCCTCCGTTCTTGTTTCTGACAGTCCTAGACGTTTTTTTAATCCACGATATATGATTTTAACTCTGAATAATTTTGAAAAGGTACTCTTAAACCCTATGATTGTCGAACTAGAAGTCCTAGGACAATTTAGTTCAAAAAGTCCACAATTATGGCTCTGAAAGTTCTTGAAACATTTCCTTAAAGAATCGAAAGCATTTTGCATTTTTTTAAACCTAGATGATGGCTCTGAAGAAGTCGCTCTACAGAAGTCTTTTTGAGAAGTATTCTTTCTATAAAAAATGCCTTACAAGTATTCTTATTTTTCAGATATTCCCTTTTTCTCTCTATTTTGGCCAAAAATCACACCCAAAGACCAGAAAACGTTCGAGCGGCAACACCAAAACGTGCCATATCTGTATTAACGACAATCTCTGGCTGTCGCGTCTGTCTTTCTGTCCCGATTCGTTCCATCTTGACGCAGACGTATGACGTTGCGTCACATTCACAACATGTGAATGGAGGGCTTAAGGCTCGCAATGGCAGAAAGACAGGCCAAAATACGACAACAAAATAACAGCAGCAACAACAACAACAACAACGATGATGATGACGACGACAACAAAACTTGAAATACTCAAACGAAATATAAAAAAACAACAACGGAAAACGTTACAAGTACAACAACAGTACTTTGGATATACTTTGGCAGTGGCGGCAGCAACTACAACAACATCAACAACAAATGGCCAACCAACCAAAACAGCAGCATCTCCCCAGAGTAAATAACAACTCATACCCCAATCGAGAAGAAAACACAAGGAGAAGAAGAAGAGAGTTGAATGGCTGGCTGAGGAAACCATTGCAAAATGAAAACAAAACTAACCCTGCGTTATTGTTGTTGTTTGTTTTTACTCTGAGAAATGTGTGTGGAGAGCAAGAGAGTGATGCACTAACCACGCCTTGGTAATAACACAGCAGGTGAGCAAGTGTTGGGTATTGGTGGTAGATGCATGAAAAATAAGCAAATATGAAATATGTTCTCTCTCTCTTTTTAGAAATCGAAATGTGAGTGCAATTAGCCATGGGAGTAAAAGAGAAGGCTATATTGTAAGGGAATATGAATCTTTTAGAGAACAAATAAATATTGTTGTCTCCTTTTTTCCTCTGTTGTTAGTGTGAAAGAAAATTGGAATGAGCATCCAACTTGCAACATACAACCAAATGAACGAACATCAAACCTGTTGTTTATTTTTTTTCTTAATACTCCCAACTGGTGGGCTTGTTTTGTTTAGGTCGCATACGTGTGCGTGTGTTCTCTCCGTTTAGTGGTGTTTTTTGCCTCCAAGTTTTTCATTCATCATCGAACTTGCCCAAAGGTGAGTCGGTCGGTTTGAGTTGTACGCATGTCCCGCCGCGACCCAATGAGTTTGTTATTCGTCTTCGTGTGTACGTGTGTGCAATTTTGTTTGTTTATATCACACAGCAACCAAAGGCGTTCAGCGTTCGTTCAAGGTGTTGCAAGCTCACTCAACAACACGGACGGTGAGGATACAACCAAAAACTATCATCACACGCCTTGTCGTTCAATAAAAAAAATCTCTTGCCGGAGTAGTGCTCGGACCCCAACCGGTGAACTGATAAGACACAACACGATCGTCTGTTGTACGATTTTTTTGCGGGCTGGAAATCGGGTTTCCAACAAAAGCAACCAAAACAAGCTTGTGTCTTCCCCAAAAGAGAGTAGCCAAACAGTAGTAGGAAGTTGTCCAAACAACAAAACGTCCGTCAAACTCTGTTGTCGCAGTCTGAAACGCGCCGATGATTGATGCCCTGCGATGCGTTACTGCAGAATAGTGAATGCGTAAGGTTGTGTTCTCGTTTGCCAGTGCATACAGCTGCCAGCCGCCGTTAGCGTAGCCGCCTGCTGTTAATGCTGCTGCTGCCACTGCCGAGCAGAGCCTGGCGACTGCTGGCTGTGGATTGAGCAAAATATCATCACTTCTCGCACAAACATCATCATTTGTTCGGATTAGATATCACACAGACTTAACCGCGGGCAGTTTATGCGAGAATTCTCGGTACCTATGTGTCGCCACGTCATAGCCACCACTTCACGTTGTTAACGTTCGTCGTCGTTCATGCCAAGAAGAAAAAAAATCAAAAGAGAAACAATAAACAAATACAAAATTTACCGTCGCCGTGATGTTTTTACGTTCAAGTGTTTTGTGAATGAATATCATCGGCGGCCTACAAAATCGGAAGCTCAAAAGAATGCAAAAAATTGCAAAAAAAAAGTTTCAAAAAATAAACAAAAATTACAGTATTTAAAATAAAATAATAAAAAAAGGATAAAGAAAACAAATATTATAAATGAATAAAAATATTAGAAAAATAAAAGAAAATATTCAAAACGAAAATAGCCCGCTTCCACAAAATTATTTAAACAAATATATATAAAATAATTAAAAAAAAAATAATATTGAAAATACCTACATATTTAAAAAGAGTATATTAAAAACAAGTGTTAAAAAAGTGTCTAATAAAATTCCTGAAAAGTGTCTAACCCGCCTGCAACTATGATCACTGTATTTAAAAGAATATTTCTTTAAATAAATAAAAAAAATAAATACAAACCGAAAAGATATTTTTCAAAGAAAAAAATAATTTCAATACTTTTGAAGTTTTGTTTCAACACTCATTCTCTCATGTCACATGGAATAACATTTAGTCGAGCCCCTTCACAAACCGAAAAAAGGATACATAAAAGGATATACTCAGTGTACTAGAAAATTTGGGGCGTTACCAAGTTTTTGTTAGTTCGAAAAGGTAATGAAAAGATAAAAAGAAAAATTAAAAAAATTGATTGAAAATAAGCTTCAAAAATTAAAAAAAAAATGTTAGGGTCAGTAAAAACACTTTTAAACACTGATGAGACCTTCGGGATGAAAAAGGAACATTTTGAGAAAAAAAAACCGAAGGTCTTTGAGCCGGCGGTCACTTCAAAGACACTTCAAAGATTTTCAGAATAATTCCGTTGTCAATTTTTTTGGAGATGAATTAAAATATTTGAAAAAAAAAAAAACATAAAAAGAGGGACTCTCATACTTTAAACTATCAAATTAAAATCAGGATTTTTTTACCAAGTGCTAAGATAAACTATGAGAATTCACTGGTTTTCTGAGAGATAACCTAACCAAGACTGGATCATCCCAAAAACTTCAAGCCCACTTTCATATAAAGTACACAAATAATTATCGAATCTTGAATTTACAAAATTTTCAACTGGGGTGTACTGACCCGCTGGCCTATGTAGGTTATACATAGGCTGAGTAAATAAATAAATCGGTAAACAATAACTAATACTTTGTAACTAGTTTTGAATCTCAGAGGAAAATTAGAATACACTTGGATGTACCGATTTCGGCAGGAACATTAGGATGTGATAGGTTTGGAGAAAATCGTTTACTAATTTCGAGTTACAATTTCTCAAAATTTTATCCTTTGTGAATGAGGTACCAGATGGAAAATACCATTTTTTTCTCTGCTGGGCACTTTGTAGGATATTCGGAATTAAAAACATTTTTCAACGTTTGTGGGGGAGGCATGAAAAATAAACCGATCCCATGGCGAAAATATTAGTATTTACGCAGTTTAAAGGAAATCGTTTTCGCAACGGATCCGAAATTGAAAAAACATTGAGATTTGGGATTTTGGCATGATGAATCATGTCAAATTTCATGTGACGAGTATTTAAAACTCCGACGCTTCGAGAGATAAGCCGATGTTCAAAATTAAGTAAAATATGGCGATGTACGAAGTTTTAACCAAGCCCTACTATCTCTTCGTACTCTATGAGAGATATTTTTATTTTGACCGTTTGCATGGATTCGACCTTTATTTTTCAATTTCAGACTGGATTTCAAGTTTCATGGGTTTGAACGAAATCTGATAATCCCATTAAGAGTTTTGCATGTTTTGCAAAGCCTTTTTGCGTGTCAAAGCCCTATAATGTTGACCATGACGTATGAGGTCAGAAATATTGTGTAGAGCTTTCCCTCTGCTTTAGGAGTCTAAACGCCAAAATTGGGGATCTAACAAAAAGGACGCACCGACAGTTTTATGCCCCCCAACATGTATAAAAAAATTGACTTATAGCCAAATCGGTTATCCTCAAAATCTCTAAAATTCGAATGTTTCGTTATATATTTTTGAGAGGTGTTTAACTGCTCCAAAGGAATACGAAATACCGAATTACAGGTAAAGAAATCAGAAGGTATCATTTCATGTATAAGTGAAAAAGTGGACCTGATATTGAAGATTTTTGCAAGCAAATAAAAAATCCCGCTTAGAAACTAAAGTATCAAATTGCAGATGATTTGGTTGGAAACATCGACTGGTATCTTTAAAATAGCGAAAATCAGGAGGTAAAATTTTTTTGAGGGCTATTCCAAAAAGTTGTTCCAAATTGAGTACTTTTTGCGAGGATTTACTCCAGAAATAGAGAACATAGATTGTAAAATAAGAGATGATGCAATTTGAAATCGAAGTTGAAACCTTCAAAACAACGGAAATTGGGAGGTGCCGCTATATGGAAGCTCAACATAAATATGGACAGATATAGCTCATTTCAAATACCAAACGTCCTAAGAATATTACGACTGACTGTCTAATATATTTAACGTTCTATGGTGATTTGCAGAGAGGAACAGTGGCTAAATTGACATAGAATTCTCAGCAGATCTGGAAAATTTACCTCATATGGTCTCCTTCTAGGTTTTACCAATGGAATGACAAAATAGATACATCTACCTTCTTATGGAGGCTTAAGCCGGTAGACTCTTCTAGAATTTCATAAATACTTCAATAATCAAATCAAAATTTTGAGAGATTAACCCTCAAAATTCCCGATGTTAAGTTATATCTACGAATATTAAATATTTTTTAGATAGGGGATAATCTACCCACAAGAGAACTCCAACTGCCAAATTACAGCAAATTTAAAATAGATGCTAAAACTTAATTTAGCGAAAATCGAAACTCCAATTACTGAAAATCGAGAGGTGCCGTTGTTTTGGGGCTGCAACATTAAGTGGAGCTACTATTTTGGTTGGAATTTAGAGCAAAAAATGCCGTAAAACACCGAAAATCTGGAAGGTTACACCACATTTGAAGGTTATACCTGCACGAGGAGCGAAATATACCCAAAAATCGCAAGCTTTAACTTTAATATTGCGATCTCAATCAATAAATGAAACAAACAGTCAGACAAATAGACGAACATGCCTAAATTGAAAGATATTGACAAGTTGTCCACCAATTTAGATTTTTTTGGGTTACCGACGATTATTTCGAGGATTTATAAAGACTTGGTACCCCCTTCTTATGGTGCAGGGCACACAAATACCTAAGGTTTTCGCAAGTTACGCTTAGGAATTTCTACAGTTCACAGGATACTTTAGTTAAATCAATTTTTGAGAGATGGACTCAAGCGAAAAAGGGGGCTAAGCCTCCTATATATGACCTTCAAAATGAAAACGGGTCGCTAGGTTTAGAATGTGACTCTCAAATTCCGATTGGTAACTATATCAGAATACATGGTAGTGTGCCAAGGAATATGTTTTAAACTACCAAAAATTGGGATCTACTAAGAAATTATGGCTACAGAGGCTACAAATTATTTGATAGACTAAAATACTGCTCTTCGAATTATAGGGGTTTGATCCCATCTTTCTGACTACCATGTTTTGGCTTCAGGAATTTTGAAGTCGATCTGGCAATGTCCGTCTGGCTGGTGTGCAGGATATCTCTTGAAGGAAGCATTCAATTTGCTCGCACTCTATGAAACACAGATCGTAGGTAATATCGGACAACTCCATCAGGTACATCCCTAGAAAACTATCAAAAATCACAAAAAAATGAAAGACAAAGGTCCAACTTCGTGTGGAGCCTACCACGCTAAATGGTCACAACTTTGAATTGGTTTTGATTTGCTCCAAACTTGACACTTCGTCTTAAAAAAAAAGGAAATATCAAACAACTCCATCGAATACATCCCGAAAAAAAAAAACTGTAAAAAGTAAAAAAATGGAAAACAACTGTCCTACTCCGTCCAGTGCCTACCACACTTAAGGCTCATATCTTTATATAATTTGCGAAAAGAGTCTGCATTTTGTCCATGTCCCATTATTTACCCCAATTCTAGATTAAGCATAGATTTAGACTGACGGCCATGGATAGATCGGGGTCAAAGCACATGAAATGGAATATAACCGTGCTGTAGGCGAACGTTTAATTGGATTAAGACTGTATCTTAAAAATGTCGATAGAAGCCTGGTTCAAGCCTTATCCCTTCGGAACATTGTCATTTTCCCACATAATATATTTTATTCAAACTTTTCAAATCCTAATATTGGCATCTTTGTCCAGATCTGGTGTAAAAATGGACAATATCAGCTCACTCCGTTTAGTATTTCTCCCACAAAGGCTTTAAAAACCTGGTACGTGACACTATTTATAGCAGACTCCGGTAATATCCGAAATGGACAATATTGTCCCACATCTTTCGGTGTCTCCCATAACGCATGTCAAACTATATTTTAAACCATTTCGTTACGAGATTTTTTTTTTGTTTTTGAAAAAATCTACTTTGCCGATTTTTCGTTTTTCCAGAAACCCGTGTTCGAAATTTTGAACAGTCAAAAAACTATTAAAACTTGTAATTTTTTGTTTAGCTTTTGTCCTAAAGTTTTCCAGCACGTCGGATTTTTAACACTTCTTTGATATATATCCGCCGTTTGAAATCTCTTGTTATAGGTCTGTGAGTGCCAGTTTTTAGGCACTCTTTTACCATTTCAAAATACACCAAACTCCCCACAAAAAATATTAATAAATAAATTCAAAATCACCTCAAATTGTATGCCTTTTCCTGAACCCCCCCCCCCCCCCTTTCGGTTCAATTTAGTAGAGGTTCGCTGTATCCTTTACCAATAACGGAAAATTCTGTTTTTCCATATTTTTGCTTCTCTTCTACCAAATCAACAGTTTCGCAGCTTAATCATGCAAATGGTTCCCAGGGAAGTCCTTGGGAATTTGTTCCCAAACAAAATCTCAACCGGAAGCTACGATAAACCTGGCAGGTATTTGCACTTTCCATTTTTTATTTTTCCAGTTTTTTTTGTTTTTATTTAATTTTTTGGGGACCCACACACATTGTTGCATTGACCCCCTAAACCCAAGGAGACTGGCGCTCTCCATTATTTAGATGTTCCATAAATTCACACACACACACACACACACTGACATGCATTCCCCTAATAAATGGCCACCGTTTGGCGACCTTCCCATTGAATCATCATCCAAATGAAAAGAAAAATAATATCAAAACAACACCAACAACATGCCGATCATAAAATACTGCTCACAATCAGGCGATCAGTTTTGGGTTTCTTGTCTAATGTTGAAAACAAAACAAAACCAAGTCTTTGGCTGGGATATGGGATTTCAACTGGTTCGGGTGGTTTTCCTCTGTTCCTTTGGCCGTTAATGTAGTTGTTGTTTTGGCTGCTGCATGTAAAGTGTCCAGAATGTTGACAATTTTCAACTTAATTTATTACGTTCATTTAAAAAAGGTATTCCTCCAGCTTTAGCTTCTTAGGACCAAAAATTGTGGGCTCATTACCTTGCCATCTTCCTCCCCCTAACAGCAGCACACCCCTCGCCGACAATCGCAGGCAAATGAGGTTATTTTCTGCAGTGGAAGCAAATTCTTTGTCAGTTCTTCTTTTTTTTTTTTTTTTTTGATGTTATAGTAGCCATCCCAAATTGAG